AGTCACACAATTACCAGGCATTATGCCCTGGTACAGGACTCAGCTGCTGATGCCTCCTTTGGGATGGCAGTTAACCATTCAACCCTACCAGCTTCAGCCTCACACCCTCCCCCTGCTTAGATACTGCTTGTCAATCACCCACAGTGGAATACAATAGGGACCATCACTCAAGGAGCCAGAGGAGGTTACTTACCTGTAACTGGAGGTTCTTTGAGAAGTGGATTCCAAAACCCACCCTCCCTTATTCACAGTAGAGAAGGAACTGAAGAGGCAGTTTGTCCATCCCACCCTTTATTGCCTCGGTTGGAGGCACCAAGCGAGACAGGGCGCATGTACAGACCACTGGACACTACTTTCAAATTCTCTGTCTCCCAGTGCATGGTGCGCCTGCATAACCCACAGTAAAATACAGATATGGACCCCACATCACGAAGAACCTCCAGTTGCAGGTAAGTAATCTCCTTATACACTCCAAACCAGAAATTTACAAACAGCTAGGTAATGGTTTCTTTTCTCTTCTCCTCCCGTACTTTCCTTTCGTGGCAAGTAGATGGTTGATTGCTCTGTTTTAGTAGCCTAACTTGCCATTTAAAGCTTATGTGAGCTTCCATTTAGTTTACAGTGCACACTTTTAAAGTAATCGTTTTACCAGCAATTCCCATGACACTGTTGTCACAATTGTGTCTATTATTAAGTACAGGGTGAAAGTGTGATAGCTTAGCTAATGCAGTGTGATGGTTACTTTTGGTAACTGGTGTGACATTTTAATGACGACTACTGTTTATTTTATTTGGTCACTTCCACTTATAGGATCTGTTTGTCTAGGCATGCCCCATAGCTGGCTGTTCTGCTTAGCAAGCACTAATTATTGTGAATTAATTAGTTACAGACAAGTGGCTTATCTTTATGGCTTAGGGAGGAAAAAAGTGAAGTCAGCACAGAGAATTAGAACAACTGTGAAAGTCAGCAAGATGCTGATAAGATAAAATGTGGATGATGAGTTTCACTTAAGGGTGGAGATGTTTTCTTTACCAGTGAAAATTTTTCTAAAAGGGGGCTCTGCTCGCAGATTAGAGAGACTGGTGGCTTGATGGGGTGGAGAGACTGGTGGCTTGAGCAAAAAGTGTTAGTCACAGCTTGCCTTATAGATATTTTTTAGAGCAGTTTCATGGTTCTTCAGTTAAGCATCCATCCTTTGTTCAGGCACCTCATTTGTCAAAAAAAGTATGCCGGGGAGCCATGCACCTAGAAAAAATAGGGGAAGTCAGCAGATGTTGAAAGTTTCTGAAGTAGAATAACAGCACAGTTTTAATACATGTAGCAGTATAAATTTCACAAAGTAAAATGTAATGCCTGCCTTATTTTTGTGAAGTGTGTGTTTGTGTGTGTGTGTGTGTGTGTGTGTGTGTGTGTGTGTGTGTGTGTGTGTAAATATACAGTGTACACTAATGGGCTAAAACTTTTTGATGTGACCATTTCCTGGAGTAATTTTGAATTTATTTCTAAGACAAATTTAGAGCCCATTCATCCAAGCCAGCAAACATACAAAGCTTCTATTGTTTTCAGAAGGATTTCTGTCCAAGGAGGGAAGGCTCACAGGATTGGGTTCCCAGTGTGGGATGGGGAAAATTGAGCAATACCAGACAGTTTTGCGACATAATCACTTCTAATCAAAAAGAAAATGTGTTTGGAGACACTGGTGGTATTCCATATTTAATTTTTTTTCCAGCCACCACTTTACCAAAGTATTTGGAAGAAATTAGAAATTACTTTTTTTTTTTTTTTAAATAACCAGCAGGCTCTGTATTATGCCGAGAAAGACTTGGGTTTTTTTGTTCTTCCTCATTTCCCCCTTCACTCTGACCCCCACTGCCCTGAGGATTGCAAGTGTGGGGTGTGTGTGTGTGTGTGTGGGGGGGGGGTGCTCTAGAGGCAGGCTGCCCATTCCATAGTGCTAGGAAAAACAGTGGCTCCCCTGGCTAATGCCTTGGTGTTGACTGACTCTGAAGGTTGTCTTTGCACACAGATCTTTGGGGTGGGTCATGGAGAGACTAGGAAGCCCTCAGGGCTTTTCCAGTGATGCGCAGGATCCATTTAAAACAATATGTGAATATGATTCAAAAGTTTCTTCTTTCCCCAATCCAGTGTTCCAAAATAAGGAGGTTGTGTCAGAAGATCTTGGGTAACACTGTAGGTTATAGAAGGGGGTGCTTTTTGAGGTGTTGCAGGGATGAGAATGCTATCTGGATACTTCATAAAGTTTTCCAAAAGACGAATGAATTCTACAAGTTGTACAATATTTTTGCATGCAAGTAAAAGGAAAATTCTTTCCTGAAATGTATGTTTGTTGAAAACAAATGGAAAAATGTTTAAAGTAAATGCAGTATATTTCAGTAGTGGTTTCTCTTTGCACACAATTCAGTAATCATATCAAATTATGTTGTAACAGGATTGTTACGTTGGCATAGAAATATGTCTTTTAAAATATTAGTTTCCTTCCACCTCCATCACTTTGTATTTACTAATAATATTTAGCACTTACCCAGTGCTTTAACACGGTCAAATGCTGTACAAAGATTAGTTAATCCTCCCAATGCCCCTTTGAGGAAGGTAAGTATTACCCAGTTTTAGCAACGGGGAAACTGAGGTAGAGAACTTAAGTGTCTTGATCAAAGCCACCAAGTGATTTACATGATTCTTATTGTTCAGAAGATGTAGAACTTAGTTGTAAAGAATACAAAAATGGTTTGTTATTCAAAATGATGGATAAGGGTAGTTCTCCCAAACCCTCTAGTTTGCAGAACCTGCTGTGTGGAATATTATCATCCGTCCTGAGCTGGACTAAGCTGTCATAGACGGGACTGCTAACTGACCTATATGCTGAGCCAGGACTTCCTGACATTCTAAACTTGTATTCATCCTCCAGATCACACTGCCCCTCCCATTTAAAACTAAAAGCAAATAAAGATAACGTAGAAAGCAGATCAGAGGTATAGGACTGGATGTGTGACTGATATGCCTAATATGGGATCACAAAATAAATAGTAGCTAATGTGGTGATTTTTAAAATCTCCGGTCTCCGGAGGCAATCCTGGCAGTTGGAGGCTGGTAAACCTAACTTGACTATTGGGCGAATTGGTTTAAAAAAAAAAAAAAAAAAAAACAAAAAAAAACCACCAAAAAATACCCACCCAACTATAATGAAGAACAGAACGACCAGGCACATATGTAAACACAGTATGTTCGGAAAGAGTCAGTGCAGCTTTTGTAAAGGGAAGTCATGCCTCACCAATCTATTGGAATTCTTTGAGGGTATCTATAAGCATGTGGATAAGGGTTATCCAGGCAATATAGTATACTTGAACTTTCAGAAAGCATTTGACAAGGTCCCTCATGAAAAGCTCTTAAGGAAACTAAGTAATCCTGGGATAAGCGAGATGGTTTTCTTATGGATCAGAAAGTGTTTTAAAAGATAGGAAGCAAAGGATTTGAATAAATGGTCAGTTTTCACAATAGAGAAAGGTAAACATCAGGGTCCCTCAAGGATCTGTACTGGTACCTGAGCTGTTCAACACATTCATTAGTGATCTGGAAAAGGGAGTGAAAACTGAGGAGGCAGAGTTTGAAAACGATGCAAAATTATTCAAGATAGTTAAGTCCAAACAAAACTGAGTGACTGGGCCAAAAAAAAAAAAAAAAAAAAAAAAAAAAAAAAAAAAAAAAAAAAAAAAGATGAAATTCAACATAGGTAAATGTAAAGTAATGGACATCTGGAAAAAATAATCCCAACTACACATGGATAATGATGGGTTCTAAAATAGCTGTTACCACTCAAGGGACAGATCTTGGAGTCACCATGGATAGATCTCTGAAAACTTCAGGTCAATATGCAGCAGCCGTCAAAAAGTTTAACTGGATGTTAGGAACTATTAGAAAGATAAGATGGAAAATATCATCATGCCACTATATAAATCCATGGTGCACCCATATCTTGAATACTGTGTCCAGTTCTGGTTGCCACATCTCAAAAAGGTATAGTGGAACTGGAAAAAGGGTTCAGAGAAGGCAGCAAAGATAATGAGGGTATGGAATGACTTCATTACAAGGAGGAACTAAAAAGATTAGGGCTGTTCAATGAGAAGAGACAAGACTAAGGGGGGGATATGCTAGAGCAGCTCCTGGCCCCCAGCCTAGCCATGACTCTGCTCCCAGCCCAGGGGGGCGTGGACACATTCCTTTACTGGTAAGGGGAGAGGGGGTCGAGAGGAAGTTTGGGCATCACTGTGATAGAGGTTTGTGTAATCATGAACGGGGTGGAAAAAGTAAATAGAGAAGTGTTATTTACTCTTTCAACACAATACAAAAAACAAGGGTCATCTGATTAAATTAACAGGCAGTAAGCTTAATACAAACAAGAGGAAGTACTTTTTCACATAACACACAATTAACCTGTGGAACTCCTTGCCAGAGGATGTTGTGAAGGCCAAAAGTATAACTGGGTTTCAGAAAGGAATAGATAAGTTAATGGAAGATAGCCAAGATGGTCAGGGATTTAACCCTGTTTTTGGGACGACCCTAAACCTCTGACTGCCAGAAGTTAGGAGGGGGGAAGATGGCGTGGATCATTCCAACTGCCCAGTTCTGTTTGTTCCCCATGAAGCTCTAGTACTGGCTACTGTTGGAGACAGAATACAGGGCTAGATGGACCATTGGTCTGAACCAACATAGCGGTTCTTGCATGGTCTTACTATAGGATTTGCTGAGGCATAACCTCACTTTAGGATCTGTTTATCTGGATTTTGCTTATAAGGATATAGCCTTAGATGGACAGGTCCTGCATGGATTTGTGGATGGAGGATTTGCCAAAAGCCTTTCTGATAGTTTAGTTAGGTTTTTTTTATTTTGTGTTGAAAATTAATTATTAATTGTGGGCTGTCTGGAGAAATTATTCTGCATATTGGCAGGGTTTCTCTCATTCACATTTTTTTGTATCTGTGCAGGTCATGAATGCAGATGGCAGTAGCAGGAGAGTTCTGGTGGAGGACAAACTGCCTCATATCTTTGGATTCACTTTGCTGGGAGATTACATCTATTGGACCGACTGGCAAAGGCGTAGCATTGAGCGAGTGCATAAGCGTACAGCAGAAAGAGAAATCATCATAGACCAACTGCCTGACCTAATGGGCCTGAAGGCTACTAATGTCCATCGGATCATTGGTGAGTGACTGAAAACCAGACCTAGACAAAAAGTGTGAAAAGCAGCTGAATGGGATAACTGGTTTCTTTCACACTGTAAAGACACTACCCCAGAGTGTTAGCAAGAACACAGAGAAAATCTGTGGTTGTATTTAACTGGGTTAGTGTGACGAACTGGGACTGTTCTTACTGTGGTCTTTAAATGCTGACAGGGGAGTGTGGCTAGGATAGTCTGCATTGGGGGATGGGAGACTGACCCATGGAGAATACCTGAGCATGTAACATGAGAACCCAGGAAGGGGTTAGAGGCCAGGTGACACCCTTGCCCGGGAAACTGAACAAAGGCTGTGGGAGGGGTCGCTGAAGGGATAGTTTTCAGGAGCTGGCTGGTGATATGGCTGGGAGGCAGATGGGGCTCTGACCTTCCAAGGGGGCTGGGGCACCCTGGGACCCCAAGATGGACTTAACTGAGGGGGGTCCTGTTGTCTGTGCCTGCAAGACCTGTCTTGGACTGTATTCCTGTCGTCTAAATAAACCTTCTGCATTACTGGCTGGCTGAGAGTCATGGTGAATTGCAGGAAGCCGGGGGTGCAGGGCCCTGAGTCCCCCATACTCCGTGACAGTTAGTGAGAGTTGGGAATGGTGTCAACAAAGCCCTTCTGCAGGCTTTGAGGGCTCTATAGCCTGGTCGTCATCTTAGGGTTTGTCTGCTCTTAAAACGCTACAGTGGTAGTGCTTCAGTGTAGACACTGCTTACTCTGACAGAAGGGGTTCTCCCGTTGGCATGGGTAATCCACCTCCCCAAGAGGCGGTAGAAGAATTCTTCCATCCGACCTAGTGCAGTCTGCACATGGACTTAGGTGAGCTTAACTACGCTGCCCATGGGGGGTGGATTTTTCACACCCCTGAGCGACATGGTTAGGCTGACTTATAAGGCCCGGTCTACACTAGAAAATTAAGAACATGTACAGAATTCAGTTTAATTACGTGATGATATGTATTTCTTTAGCACCAACGGTTAATGAAACTAAGGCTGTTCTATATGCCTTCATCTCACAACCTGTCTACGAACTGTGCTCCCTGTGTCTTCATGAAAGCTAGGAGCGACACAGGTTTTGCATGTGCACTGATTGGTCTAAATGGGCACCAAGTTACGTCTGTCAAATGCAGGTCTCTTCCCAGCTGTTTAGCCTGTGTGAATTGAGTGTTTGGTGGTGTCAGTGCAGCTCTTAATAGACAGACTTCCATAACATACACAGAACACTATCACAATAATCTTCTTTATTAATGGTCCGAATGGCTGTGAAGTCTGCAACTATTTCCATTCTTAATGTAATTGCTATAGGACAAGGCTGAGGTAGATTGCAGGGAAATGTACTGTAGAGAAAGTTAGCACTGCTGTCTGAGGATAATTATCTTGAAAAAGAGGACAATGTCAAATAATTCTTTTTGCTTCTACTGAATGTGTAGGTGCAAACCCTTGTGCAGAGGACAATGGTGGTTGCAGCCATCTCTGTCTGTACAGACCTCAGGGCCCTCGCTGCGCCTGTCCCATAGGCTTAGAGCTCATCAGTGATATGAGGACTTGCATTGTCCCAGAAGCTTTCCTGCTCTTTTCTCGGAGAGCAGATATCAGGCGAATCTCTTTGGAAACCAACAACAACAATGTTGCCATCCCACTTACGGGAGTCAAAGAAGCTTCTGCTCTGGATTTTGACGTGACTGACAATCGGATTTACTGGACAGATATCTCACTGAAGGTAAAGGAGGGAGTTGTCTCTGTCTAGTGTTCAGTCCCACATGGGCAGCTGTGCCTCCCCAAACAGCCATGTGTGGTCCCGCCCATGCTCTGCCCCCAGGTCCTCTGCTGGGGCTCTGCAGCTCTTCCCCTTGGCCAGGGACTACAGGTGGCTGGAACCGGTGCTCACACCGCCCGGTGTTCGGGGGCGGGGGGGAGCGCACTGCCAGCCCAGCGCTCCTGGGGGGGAAAGCCTCTAGGCGCCGGTGGGGGAAGGGGGCGGGCGGGGCGGGGCCTCATGCAAAAGGGGCAGGCTGGGCCAGGGGCTGGCTAGCTTCCCTGAGCCCAGGCTTCACTCTCCGCCCGTTCAGTCCACTATTGCTGCATTCTCAAAACACTTAAACTCAAGAACTGATCAACAAATAAATTTTACATAATTCTAGTTCAGAGGGAAAAGCGTGACCCAACACAATGTCTTCATATCCTGGCTAAATTCAGATGTGTTCTTTTTAAATCAGTGGGTATATGTTTTTTCACATACACTATGAATTTGCAAGGATAAAAGTCAGCATTTTGTGGAAAACTGAAACTGGGGGGAAATACCACTTTGATGGAGATTTGGGGGCCTTAACATGGATATCTTGCCAAATGCATTGTGGGAGGGAACTGTGTCTTGGGCCTGAAGTGAAAGCTGGTGTTAATCTTACTTCAGTGTGCATTAGTTATGAAGATACCATACATTAGGTGAAATACGGTATGAATTATAAATTATACTGAAATAGCTAGATTATTCGGTTGAGACTGAAATATTGGGGAGTGTTGCAGATCAGAAACAGGCATAAGGCAGACAAATGGTGTACAAGTTTCAGCATCGATATCCACCAGTCTAGTTTCACTCTCATTTTCAGGAGCAGAAAATTTATTCAGAAATGGAAATATCAGGATTTTTTTTTAATAAAGGAAGAATTCTGTAATTGTGGTGAGGCTTACACAACAACTTGCTGTGTTCCACACTCTGTAACTTATGAGTTGGGACACAAGGGCTCAAAACATAGCTTGTAAATGAGTTTCTAAGAGGGAAGCTGGCCAAACTGTTGTAGAAACTGGTTTAACTTGAACTGTGGTTGAAATAGATTAAACATGGTTCCCAAAGTTGGTTTGAAAGGACATTGTAGATAGGGATTAAGGGATGCTGAACTCCCAATTGTGCACACGGTTGTGACATCACTGGTTCTAGCGCACAAACTGTAAGCAAACAAAATTGAACTTTGACTTCTGCAGAGTTAGAAACATGAGGAGTGAAGGATGGGAGGAAACTAGTGTTTGCATACCATTGTTGTCCTTGGCAAAGATATGTTATCTTCGGGCTTCTTGGTCATAATTGTATACCAGTGAATGGCTAAGATATGAAATATTATACAATGATGGCTGCCTCTATTGTCATAGGAAAGGCTATGAAGTTGAGAGTTAAAAGGGAAATCTTTTGGACAAAAGAGAGATCAGAAACTCTTCTTGATGGGGAATTAAATTAGTTGCTTACCATCCATCCATAAACACTGGCACTACAGAGCTAACTGACTTCTTGGCCATTGATTGTTTTCATCTATGTGATGATTTGTACTGAACTTTTTAAATGAGAATGTTGTTTAAAAAAAAATGCACTGACACAAGACATATGTCACCATCACAGTGTTCACTGTGCTTGTGTGTTCTGGCCCCCTGCCCCCTCCAGCCTGTGTGCTGTCTTGTGTATTTACATCGTAAGCTCTTCGGGGAAGGGACTGTCTACTACTCTGTATTGTGCCTACCATAATAAACATCATTAATTAATAATGTGGCGTGGGGTGGTTGGGTGGTGAGTGGCACGTGATATACAGGAGGTTGGGTTAGATTGTCTGGTGGTCCCTTCTTGCCTTTAAATGCTGTCTCTGTGACTCTAAAATATTGCTCCTTGCTGTAGCATAGAAGCTTCAGCATGAGCCCGAGAATTCCAAAATGTTTTCTCCTCAAAGCTGGCTGTGAGTTGTTAAGGTCAGTGTGGCGTGTAGGCTGCTTAATGGAACCCAACTCAAGTCAACCCATTTATTTCTTCAGTGACCATAGTAAATCATCACTCTTGAATAGGCCTTATTGTTAATTGTACGAGTAAGTAGCATATTGTATGAACTTCTTCCCTACAAGATGCCTGAAATCTGAACGTTTTTAAATGCAAACCCCAATGACAGACTGGTAAAGTTCCTAATTTACCTGTGTATCATTGTATCCCTGAAGACTATCAGCAGGGCATTTATGAACGGCAGTGCACTCGAACATGTGGTGGAGTTTGGCTTGGATTACCCAGAAGGCATGGCAGTAGACTGGCTAGGAAAGAACCTGTATTGGGCCGATACTGGAACAAATCGTATTGAAGTGTCAAAGCTGGATGGACAACATCGTCAAGTATTGGTGTGGAAGGATCTGGACAGCCCCCGGGCACTGGCATTAGACCCTGCTGAAGGGTAACTTGCTGACTTAATTTTATGTTTACGAACTCGTTAAAAATAACACATGCATATTTTCTGTAGGGCATGTTAATGAGGCACCAGTACATAAATCCTGAGAGAACTCAGCTTGGGGAATATAACCTAGTAATTTAGAATACAAGGGCTGGAGGAATGTGCTCTTAATGTCCTGAATAATCATTAGGAATACTACACACAAATCAGAGAAGCTCATTAAAAAAGGATTTATATTTAGTTTTTTAATTAATCATAAAATCGAAGTAGCTTTAGGTTTATGGAATTCATTAATTAGAAAAGGTCCATCACACTGAAAAGAAAATATTTGCCCTTTTAAAATGGAGCTCCCTTTCATCACGGGTTAGGGTGTTGTGAAGGTATTATGTGCTCTGCCTATGAGGGGAAGGTGAAGCTCACTGTGTGAGAATAAGGAGAGAGATTATTTTGGAGGGAAAGGACAACTTTGGTAGGTGGGGGAGGGAAATAGTGCATCCAAGAAAACTGCTCTATCTGCCTATTCAAAATGTAAGATTTTTGTAATGAGAGAACTCTTTTCTCCAGGAAAATGGACTCGATCACATTAAAATGCAATAGCATTTTATGTCATAAGAAAAGAACTGTCATAATACTTAACATCTACATAGCACTTTATAACCTTGAAATGCGTTACAAACATTTACTAATTTATTCCTTGCAAAATCCATGTGAGAGACACTAGTTGTGTATTACCCCTATTTTACAGATGAGGAAACTGATTTTCAAACATCCTGAATTCTCACAGTTTAGATTGACTTCAGTTGGAACTGTAGGAGCTTAGGAACTCTGAAAATCAGGCACTGACTGATGTGTCCAAGGTCAGACTGAGTCACTGCATAGAACTTGGAAAGTCTCAGGATTTCCAGGCTCCCATTCACTAGGTAGAGTTGCCTCTCTATACCATCTTTCTCTTGAAAAATAACAGTTAAAGTTTGCTAAATACCAAAAATGTTCATCCAAAGTGGGAGAGAACTAAAATTGCTGATGTGATACGCAAATCTGAACCAGATGTTTTGGGAGTATGCAATGTCCACGTAGTTCCTGAAAGCTGCTCAAGGCCTGGAATTGCAGATTAGTGCTGTGATTTTACCACTTACCTTGAGGTGACTCATTTTCATCACTGGTATTCACAAGAGCTAGTATTTCTCACTTACTGCAAAGTTACTCATTTTCCCTTGCTCTAATAGCTGTCTGGCCAGAAATAGTGTCAAAACACATGTAGACCAGAGTGGTTCTCAATTCCTCATCTTAAATTCACACTGGGACCCCAACAGCAAAGTTGCTTTACTTGCATTATCTCCTGTTTTTGTTTTTAAAACAATAAATGATCACCAAGATTTTCAGAAGTGGGGTTTCTTCTTAAGCCCATGTTTAGACACCTAAATAAGTGGCCTAATTTTTCTAAAGTACTGATAACTCAGCAGCTCCCATTGAATAATGAGCCTATGTATTTAGGAACCTATCCATTATCTATCAGTTTCTTTACAATCTTGGCCAGTACATATTCTGTCAGGCCACTTCACACTCATAGTGATCTTATTCCTATTTAGTTTAGCTTATCTATCTAACCTATTTGGGTGTTGTGTTCAAAATATTAGGGTCAGCATAGTCCATGGCAGACAATACAAAGAATTTGGTATCATACATATGGAAATGCATCTCCCTGCTGCAGTCCAATGATGCCAGAGAACAATAGTATATGCTTATGTGTTGACCGCTATTGCAGTACTTAGATGATCTGTATTCTATACGTAATAGAGTGAGAACATTACCTTGGCTCAGCAGTACGCGAGATGGAGTGTATTGTTACCCAATTGCAGTGGAAAGCCTCTGAGATCTGTTTGCAAGACTAACTTTCCAATGTGCCGGGGGTGCTCACTGCTCAACCCCTGGTTCTGCCACAGGCCCTGTCCCCATTCAACCCCTTCCCGCCCCCCTCCCCTGAGCCTGCCATGCCCTCGCTCCTCCCCCTTCCCTCCCCTCCAGAGGCTCCTACACGCCACGAAACAGCTGATTGGGAGGTGCAGGAAGGGCGGGGGAGGCGTTGATCAGCAGGGCTGCTGGTGAGCGGGAGGAGCGGGGGGCTGATGAGGGGTGGCTGACGTATTACTGAGGGTCTTTGGCAATGTACATTGGTAAATTCTGGCTCCTTCTCAGGCTCAGGTTGGCCACCCCGGTCTAGTCCATTGCTACCTATAAAACCAATCTCTGGTGTGGAAATTGGTGGAGAAAGGCACTTCAAGGAAATATCCTCAAGAAACATTTAGTTTAGAGTTCAGTAGAGGATTGAATAGAAGCAGAAGGCAATTTTTGTTGCTCATGCAATGTGCTTTGGATCAATTCTTGATAAAGAACAATGTGCAATCTAATGTACCCAGATGCCATCCTGTTTAACTAGTTCATGTGTGTTAGCTAATAATAAAGACTGAAGGGCTCTAGTAAAGAAGTCTTTGGTAAGGGTCCAGCTTTGGATGGAGCAAATAAGGAAATCGGACTCATTTCCTAGCTTGTATTTTGAGAAAAATATTTAATGTGTTTTAATAAACACTTAAATTTATAACTCTGGTTTTCTGTTCCCATTCTCCTTGCTTTTGTGTTGTTTTTTCCTTTCATGTACTGGCAAGAAATTTTAAGAGTCTGCATTAGCAGAAAACTTCTATATCAGATAAATGAAAAATTCCTTACATTTTTATACAGGTTTATGTACTGGACTGAGTGGGGTGGGAAGCCCAAGATTGACCGAGCTGCCATGGATGGAAGTGAACGTACTACTTTGGTACCAAACGTGGGACGAGCTAATGGGCTAACAATTGATTATGCTAAAAGAAGACTTTACTGGACAGATCTAGATACCAACTTAATAGAATCTTCAAATATGCTAGGTAAGCTGCTGTTGCTTTTTCTGGGCAAGCTGTGTATTTTTAGTTACATGTAGGACAAAGCTCTCAACTGGTAGCTTTTGGAGTGTCTTCTCTGGCAAAAAATATAACCAGCATTTCATTTGTTGTGGAGAGGTGGTGGGAAAGCCAAACTGCAAAAGCTCATAGATTTAATACACTCAGAACTGATTTTTTTTTTTTAAAGTAGGCGCATTCCATTGTCTATATCAGGCATGAGAGTAGGACATGTGTGTGTGAAAGAGAGAGAGAGATGAGGAAGGGGCCTCATGCTGCAGATGGGTTGTTACAGAAGACTGGCAATCCTGGTGGAGGCTGATATTAAACTGTAAATTTTTATTTTTATTTTTTTACATTTTTTAACCTCTCCACGAAGGAGCAATGTCTAACACATTGCTATAAAAACCCAGTATGTCCCCAGTAATTCCTCTTGTTTTCCTCTCTTCCTTTTTTGAAAACAGGCCTTGACCGTGAGGTTATAGCAGATGACTTGCCTCACCCGTTTGGCTTGACTCAATACCAGGATTACATCTATTGGACAGATTGGAGCCGACGCAGCATTGAGCGAGCCAACAAGACCAGTGGCCAGAACCGGACCATCATCCAAGGCCACTTGGATTATGTGATGGATATCCTGGTCTTCCATTCCTCAAGGCAGGCAGGCTGGAATGAATGTGCCTCTAGCAACGGGCACTGCTCCCATCTCTGCTTGGCAGTGCCAGTTGGTGATTTTGTGTGTGGATGCCCAGCTCACTATTCCTTGAATTCTGACAACAGGACCTGTAGTGGTAAGCCCTAAGCCCCAATGACAAATTAGAGGCATAGGGAAGAGAATGCCGATGGGAATAAATTATGGAAGCAAATGCATTTGGTAACAGATCAAAGTATTTTACTAGAAAAAAGAAACATTTTCATTTCTTTCTTCTCTATTTATTTTTAATAGCAACAAAGAGGAGACAGTTTGCTTTGGTGACAGGAGCATAATATGCTAAGTCATGGCTCGTTTCTACCTTTGATACTGAAAGGTTATTAAAAACCTTTCCAGTTCCAAGATAAAGTTCTAAAGCAGGATGTGTTGGCGGAGGGGGTGTGTGTGTGTGTATGTATGTATGTATGTATGTATGTATAGGTGGTAATAAAACTGTTTTCTAACCATACTAAAATCCTACCAGGCAACTGAGTAAAAGTTAGGATATTTTTAAAAAATTTCCAGGCCAACAGCAATGAACCTTTTTATTCATTCTGCCAACCAGAATAAGGCTGGGTAAGAAGAGAAGCTGGAAACACTTCTACTTTTGTGCCGGCCCATGAAAGTTACTTCATGACCCCTTTTATTTTTTTGAGATTTACCAGGCGTAGAGGATTAATGGGATTTTGGTGTATGTTTTGGAATGTTGGAGGTGAATTTAGTTGTGACTTGTATTCCAGCTTGAAGGGGTATTGGACAGACCTTCCTTCAGAGCTCACCCCAGTGTGGCTAAAGGCATTGCTTTTGAGTGAGAAAAGAGGCCCCAGGGTGCTGCCTTCACAGCACTTTCAGTTCTTGATCACAGTAGAGGCAGCAAGCAGCCAAACCCCAGTTTTTTTCATTGTTGTGCAGTGTGTGAACCACAAGGCCCTTAGGTCCGCCACAGTTAGTTTCTAGCCAAATAATTCATCTTTCTTTCAATAACTGGCTGCCAGTGCAGCACTCATAATTCTTCATATGATGGTCCCTACATGTATTCCACACATTGGATACACATGAGCACCATGTGTTTGAATCCAGAATTTTTTTGCAAGCAGTGGCCATTGACCTGTACATGTGCTGTAGCTTTTCTCATGCTCCAAACCCAGGGCATGAAAAGTGGTACAGGCCTACACCTCTCCAGTTCCTGCTTATTGCTGCATGATCTGAATTGAGATCTTTGGTGTCCTCATCTTTTTCTTTCTTTCTTTCTTTATTTTTACTGCGTCATTGCTGTAAAATGTTGTACACAGTTAGTTTTAGTAGTTTTTATAGTATACAATAGAACCTCAGCGTTATGACACCTCTGGAATGGAGGTTGTTCCTAACTGAAATGTTCGTAACTGAATAAAATTTTATGGTTATTCTTTCAAAAGTTTACAACTGATCATTGACTTAATACAGCTTTGAAACTTTACTACACAGAAGAAAAATGCTGCTTTTAACTATCTTAAATTAAATGAAACAAGCACAGAAACGGTTTCCTTACCTTGTCAAATCTTTTTTTAACCTTTCCCTTTATTTTTTTTTAGTAGTTTACGTTTAATTAAGGACTGTACTGTACAGTATTTGATTTAGGTAGGTAGGTAGGTAGATAGGTAGGTAGTTGTCTCTGATGCCTGATTATGTACTTACGGTCCCAAAGGAGATGTGTTGTTGACCGATCAGTTTGTAACTCTGGTGTTCGTAACTCTGAGGTTCTTCTGTAGTTAGTATTTCCTCCCATTTTCTTCCCCACCCATTTTCTTTTCCCCGAAGAAGTCTGGGATTATGCCCAGGGTTCAAAAATTGTGTTTCCTGCCTTCGCTCCTTTTCGGTGAATGACAAACATCAGCACTGCCTCTATTGCCTGGGTGAGGCTCATATTTCTGCCAGCATCTGCTGCTCTTTTTCCCCCAGAATTCATGAGGGTCTGGAACTGAGACTCAGAAAATACCTCATCAAGAAGGCAATGAAGCCCCAATCCGATTGGCTCGGGATAAACAGCTCCTGATGCTCCAATCCACTTCTAGAGTCAAAGCGGTACCGGTAGCGACATGTACCACAATGACCAGGAAAGCTCTGGTTCAGACTGCTCTGCCAATAGACTCTCCTCATACCCCCAGGACAATCAGACTCATGTCTCCCTGAAGAGAACATCTTTGCTCTTCCTTATCCACATTCAGCCCTCCTATCAGGACCGTCTTTATTCTGGGACATTGATACACCAGAAGAAGACTGTCCCAATGAGAGAGTCATTCTCCCATCCCACCATTGGTACCATTGATTCTGCTGGAGATAAGGATTCAGCTTTCTGTTTGGATGAGTCTTAGCCCCTGCAAGAGTCTCTGCAGCATCAGGGAAAGGTGGCACAAGACAGGAGCCCCAGAAGATCATGGTTCTGACCCCCAGGCAGATATAGTTGGCCAAGAAACAGGCTCCCCCACCCCATGCCAAGGGGTTCTCCTTTGGCAGTTGATCCATCCTACTGGCAATATTGGGGATCATGGGAGCCCTACCCTAGACTCCGGATCAGTGCAGGAATCCTATTTGCCACTTCCCAGACACCCACAACCGGCCCCGTCAGCATATTCAGAAAGGGAAGGTGAGTCTATTCCAGTAGCAATCTCGTCATCTTCACCAAATGAGGCAGTTACTCCATCTTCTCCATCCCTGCCAGGTGACTTTAAACAATATCAAGAGCTCATGCCCAGGGTGGCTGTAGAGTTACAGATTCAGCTTCAGGGAGATCAGGAGCCTCAGCATAGTTTACTAGATGTTCTGCAGCCATCTGGTCTGCAGTCAAGTGGCTCTCCCCATCACAAGGTCATCATCATGGACCCAGCAAAGATGATTTGCCACACTTCTGTTTCTTGCGCTCCTACCCCTAATTGGGCCAAGAAGCACTGCTTTGTTCCATCCAAGGGAGGGAAAGTTTTTGTTCAGATGCTTTGGTGGTACAGGCGGCTACAGAGTGGTCTAAGTAACAGCATCTAAAGGCTACTCCCTCAAAGAAGGGATACAAGCGACTCAACCTTCTAAAGAGAAAGGTCTTCTTTCACCTCCCTCCAGTTCAGGATCTCAAATTATCAGGCCCTCTTGGCCAAATATGATTTTACTAATTATAAGAAGTTTTGGAATTCAAGGACGAGCTCCCTGAGGGGCATAGGGCCTGCTTCCAGGCCTTAGTGGATGAGGGCAGATTGGTAGCCAAAATTTCCCTCCAGGCCATGGTGGATGCAACTATACTGCATCTAGGGCAATGTCTATGGCCATTGTTATGAGGAGAGATTTGTGGTTATGATCCTCATGTTTTCCTAGAGGTCCAGAGTACCATCCAATATCTGCCCTTCGATACTATCAACTTATTCCACAAGAAGACGGATGAGTGTCTCCACTCCCCCAAAGACTTGAGGACAAAATTTGATTCACAGGCATTTATATCCTTGCCCCTAAAAGAAAACACCATAGACGGGGCTAATAGGGCAAGACCACCACAGCCATTTTACCACCAATGTTCTCAGGAGCTAACTCTCAAGAGACAGAGGGTTTATAGACCCAGGAACCCAGCCTCTACAACATTCATCACCACGTCATACTCTAACGCCAAGCAAAGAGTGTTTTTTTTCCCCCATGGTACTGTTGAGACCTATGTCCCTTTATTGATGCCACTTCATTCCCCTCCTCTGATATTCAAAGGCTTCCACACCCCATTTGGCAAAAACTGCCCTAACTACAGACAAATGGATATTAGAGATTATTTATGGCATCTAGCTGATCGAGTCTCTGGTACCTCCTGCCCACAAACCCCCTTCTTCATTTTTTTTCACGGACCACTCTCATGGGGTGATTCTGCGACAAGAGGTGATCTCCCTTCTCAGGGGAGCCATAGAAAGGGTTCCACCTCAACATCAAGGGAGGGAATTCTATCCCCCTTACTTCTCTATCCACAAGAAGAATGGGGGATGGAGGCCAATTCTTGATCTGAGACAGCTGAACAGGTTCATTTGAAAACTAAAACTCCGCATGCTCTCCTTGGCATCCGTAATTCCCTCGTTAGAGGAGGACACATGGTTTGCGGCTCTCAACATTAGAGACACATTTTCACATAGACGTCCACCCAGCCCACAAGAGGTTCCTCAGGTTCCTCTTCGATGAAGAGCATTACTAATTTAGAGTCCCTCCCACTTTGGGCTAGTTACTGCACCCTGGGTCTTTACAAAGGTCTTTTCAATAGTGGCAGCTTGGATGAGAAGGGAGGGATTTACAGTCGTCCCCTACCTTGATGACTGGCTACTGATGGGCGGTTCCTTCAAGGAAGTCTAGCAAGCAACCAGCGTTCTGCTCAGTCTTCTGCCTTCCCTGGGTTTCTGCATCAGTCATGAAAATCCATGTTGACTCCCACGAGTCTCATAAATTTTATGGGGGGGGGCATTGGACTTGACTGCAGCAAGAGCATATCTGCCTCTCAAGATGTTTCAGGCCATGAGCATGCACATACATCAGGTCAGTGTCAGAACCAGGGCATCAATCAGAATTTGCCTTTTCCCTCTTCAGCCATGTGGCTTCATGCACACATGTGACATTGTTTGTCAAGCTTTATTTTCACTGCCTAGAACCCTGGCTTCTCTCTGTGTACTCACCAGAGAAAGGCAACATAAACCGAGGTGACCGTTCTGCCTAAAGTTTTAGACTTTTGTCTGGTGGACAAAAGTGGAGAAGGCTTGGGTGGGGATCCCTTTCCTCACACTGACTCCTGAGGCAGTCCTCATTACTGATGCTTTCCTCTTGGGTTGGGATGCTCACATGGGTGATTACATGGCACAAAGCATCTGGAGCTTTTGGGAGTATCAGTTTACTAGAATTCCAGGTGGTCCATCGAGCCTGTGACTCATTCCTCCTTCATCCAATCTAGACATGTCCAAATAACGTCGGACAACATGACAACAGTATTTTATGTAAACAAGCAGGGAGGGTGAGATCTCTCCCTTTGTGCATAGATGCAGTCACCCTATGGAATTTGTGCATCAGCCATTGCATATTCCTATCAGCAGCTTCCTTGCCAGGCGTGCAAAACTCCCT